TCTGGGCAAATTGGCAGTGGTGAGGCAGCCCCCTTTCCCACAGATGATGAATGGGGATCAGTGTCCACAGGTGCTCTGCAGGTCGTGTGGTACACAGTGCGGTTAGCTAACATTAGGAATATTCTCATATAGTCCTCAAGAGATGAATCACCCTGCTCCAGGAGAAGCAGAAGGAACTTGGGATGGTTGAAGGGGTATATAGAAAACAACAGAAAGAAAACACTCAATACATTGAAGAAAAACAAATAGAGGAAACATGTATGGACCAGGGGTTCTGTCATGTCACTGCTGTCAGGAAATAAAATCAAGATGCAGAGTAAATGTAAAAGTGTCAAAACCAAATAAGCTATTAAAGACAGAAAAAACTAAAAACTAATTAACAGCTGCTTTTGTGAGGAGAGCAAAAGATCAGAATTGACCTTAATCCTAATTTGGAAGCTGAAAACATATCTTAAGCCCTAAATTATCATGCAAAGAAGCACATTATTGGATCAAGTATTTGGTTGCTGCTGCTGGATGGGACCTTAGAATCCGTAGAGTGCTGCTTTCTACAATCTGATGTTATTATTGTTACTTAAATAATCACTTTTTTAACTTTCTTTTAAGCTGGGCATTTTGTATGCAACCCACTTTCCTTTGTATAACTCTAAAAAATATTTATAATTTTAGCAGTATATTTACTGTTAGCATGACATGTAAGATCTTTATTTAATAGCAAAACAAGTATTCTTTACATTCATTTTCTCTTCAAAATCATAGCTTTTCCTGTGGGCTTGTGCTTCCCACATAAATATTCAAGGACAGTTTCCAGGAAAACATAATAAATATTTATAATTATGATAACTTGCTGGGTACGCAGTGGCGCAATAGGTAGTGCTGTTGTTTCACAGCAAGAAGGTTGCTGGTTCGAGCCTTGGCTGGGTCAGTTGGTGTTTCTGTATGGAGTTTGAATATTCTCGCTGCTTTTGCGTGGGTTTCCTCCAGATGCTCCGGTTTCCCTCACAGTCCAAAGACATGCGGTACAGGTAAATTGGGTAGGCTAAATTGTCTGTATTGTATGAGAGTGTATGGATGTTTAATAAGGATGGGTTGCAGCTGGAAGGGCATCTGCTGTGTAAAAACATGTGCTAGATAGGTTAGTGGTTCATTCTGCTGTGGCACTCCCAGATTGATGAAGGAATTAAGCCGAAAAGGACATGAATGAATGAATGAATGAATGAATGAATGAATGAATGAATGAATGAATGAATGAATGAATGAATAATAACTTGCCGTTTTTGTTAAAGGCTCCAAAACAAATTTTACATTTTCAAATTTAAAAACTGCAGTAATAGGCTAACATCTCACAATCCGAGGTCATGTGAGGATGCTCACTGAATCTCTCTCTCTCACTCACTTTCTCACTCAATCACAGTTCTTTGACTTATTCCCTTGTTTTATCAGGGGCTTGACACAGTACGGCCAATTGTATTTGAGTTTGCGTTTCATAACCAGCTCACACACCTCAGCCCTTCTCAGGGTTTCTCACCAAGTAATTTGGCAGATGCTTTACAGACTGAAATGCTAAACAGATGCTAATTTGACTGTGCTGACAGGATTGCACAATCTAGATAAAATCAGAAAAATGCTTTGGGCTCTAGACCAAAAGGAGGCCCTAATGGACTGACCAACTTTAAATTACATAAATAACACTAAAGGCATTGACAACTTTGCAATGAAATTGACATGCAGACATGTGTTCTAATGGATCTTGTTCCCCTCTCACAGTGCATGTGGATTTTTTTTTACTTTGTTTGAGAAAATATCAGTGCACTGTCCTTTTTTTGTTGCTAGGCAACCACTGTGTCAACAGTCTTGGTGATATAGCACATGACCTTGGGCACTTTTTCCATATAAAGTTGTCTTTTTTCCAGTTAGGTGCAAAGAGTGCACAAACACGAGGCATTTGAGGTGCGCACAAAACACTATCAATAGAAAATATATATTAAAAAGGTGCTTCTAACCACAGAAAAACAAGTTTGTGTGATTGGGTACTAATTAAGGTACAGCCAAATTTATCAGTCTGTGGTGGTTTTGTTATTCTTTGGCAATCCTAAGTTTAATTTTCTCATGCTCATTTGATCATTTGTAATGAAACGCATCCATTAATAGTTGTGCATAACATCCTTTCCAATAGCTACAACTAGTCAGATTTCTTTTGGCTGTATATAAAGTGGGCTATATAATTACAATTAAACTGTAAATAATTTTACCATTTTATTGTTGTTGTTGTTTTGTTTGAGTGCATGTATCAAGCAATTTAAAGTCTGTGTGAATGCCATATTTTGCTATCGCATTTTGTTATTCTTTAGGTGAACAAATAATCTGCAAGTCAATCCACTAAAAAAAAGTGTCTGACATATTGCTAAAGTAACAATACTAAGAATTACTCGATTAAGAGTTAAAAGTAGTTACTTTTAACTCTTTTTTTATTTAGTTTTGTGGAAAAAGATTATGAAAATGTTTAGGCCATGGTATTACAATGTTAAACCTGCTTATAGTTATCAAATAACCATTAACAAGGTTTAGATTTTTTAGATTTCCTTTATGTTTTTTAGTAAATTTGACCCTTCACTACCTGTTTCTTTAGGTTGGAGCTGGAATTATATGTTGCGGTTTCAGTTGGATGTACAGCACGCATCGCATTATGAAACTATTATTTTTGACATCATGAAAACACATCATTTTAGGCAGCGGGTGATTTTATCACCATCATAAATAAAATGTATGTTAACATTAAAAAATACTACAACATATATATATATATATATATATATATATATATATATATATATATATATATATATATATATATATATATTATATTATATTATATAATATTTAAACTTAATCCACAATATTATGTTGTATTTTGACTTATGAAAACATAAATGTTTGATTAATGATTTTATTTATGTTTAGCTTTTTAATGCATTCAGATAAGGATCACGTAAATATCAAGTTTTTGAAAATATACTATGCACATTAGAAATAAAAAAATGTTTACATTTCATATTGTTGTTATGTCGGATTATTTAATTTAATAAATTCCAGCGATTTAATGATAATGCAACAAATAACACTAATTGATAAAGTGTTGTAGGCTGCTAATATGCATTGGTGGAAGTTTTTGTTAGTGTCAGATTATTTAGTTTAATTTAAAGGTGATGCCGGGGTGTCACGGTGGCGCAGTGTTCGCTGGTTCAAGCCCCGGCTGGCATTTCTGTGTGGAATTTGCATGTTCTCCCCGTGTTCGCGTGGGTTTCCTCCGAGCGCTCCGGTTTCCGCCACAACCCAAAGACCTGCGCTATATGTGAATTGAATAAGCTAAATTGACCGTATAGTGTGTATGTGTGAATGCAGGAGTGTATGGGTGTTCTCCGGTGTTGAGTTGCGGCTGGAAGAACATTCGCTGCGTAAAACATATGCTGGATAAGTTGGCGGTTCTGCTATGGCGACCCCTGATGAATGAATGAATGAATGAATGAATGAATGGATGGATGGATGGATGGATGGATGGATGGATGGATGGATGGATGGATGGATGGATGGATGGATGGATGGATGGATGGATGGATGGATGAATGAATGAATGAATGAATGCTGGTTGGAGGGCCTACTATAAACCTTTTTTTTCCCTAGGGCCCTGACTCGAAAAGCCTCTGCAGAGTTCATGAAAGTACGCTGTGAGTAACACAATCAGGCGCAGGGTCGTCGTAAACGTGTGAAAAGGTTGTACTTTATATTCAGGTGTTGTGCAGAATTGGAGGACCGCCGTTCAACGAAACGAGCTTAACGCCTGGATAGAGGAAGACTTCCTTGTCCCTTTCTCTTCCTAGGGGGTTTCCAAGTTAGTGCAGAGCAGGCACAAAACATGAACTGCTGCCAACCTTGGATCATTGTACACACCCATCTGTTTGACTGCAAAACATTCCTTATTTCTGATAGTTAATGAATACACCATTGCGTGATTGCTCAATGATTAAATCATGGTATGTTTTACAAGACACGGGATATTTATTTCGAATAGAAAAAAGCATGTCTATAAGCACGATAAACTACACAGATCCAGACTTTTGTTTCTTTTATGTTTATTACTGCTTAAAAATGGGTGCTTTACGTGTATATTGCTTAAACAGTGCTTATAATGAGTTATGTCATATGATTATTCTTGCCGTTCACATTTTCATGCATGACTGTTTACCTCTTGATATCTATGCAAATTAAGAGATTTTAGTTGTTCATTTAATTTTGCATTTTCCGAGCTGAAAAATCGGTACACAATTACACTTGCTATTATTGTCGATTATATTAATTTATCAGTGATTTTTGCAATTTAGGCTACCTGTTTTATTATTTTTTTTTTCATAAAAGAAAATTAAGGCAGCAATAAAACTTTTTAAATTACATTTTTACAGATTTTTGCAGTGTAAAGAGGCAAACAGATTTAAAAAAAAAAACAGTTGGTGAGAAGTGTTTACAATGATGGTTTGTCCAAAAATAGACATTCTGTCATCATACACGCCCATTATTTGTTCAAAACATGTTTCTTTTATTTTCTATTGAGCATAAAAGAAGATATATATATATATATATATATATATATATATATATATATATATATATATATATATATATATATATATATATATATATATATATATATAGTAAGAAAAACAAATGCTATGAAATTAACTATAGTTACAGGTTTTCAACTTTTTTTCAAACTGTTATTGAACAAGTAAAAGGCGAGTAAAATATGTTTTCTTAAACAACTGCTGTGAATATAAGTTGAATGGTGATATGTAAAAGCATAAATTGTATTTTATATACATACAGTCAAATATCCGATATAATTTAAGTCTGAAACAGAAACTGCACAATGAAATTTGATATATTTTCTATTTTCCTCATTCACATATTAGCATAATCAAACCACTTTAATAAAACATACAAGTAACAAATACGAAAAATATGTTTATTGTACAAAAGATAAATGATTAATTTGTAAATTATACTCACACATCTTTTTGCCCTCTGCAATCAACCTTGCTGCTCAAAATTTAAGCTCAATCATGCATTCTATCATTGTTTTTTCTTTGACACAAAAACAAAAATAATACAACAAATGCATTGAAAAATCAATCAATTATGACACTGAATTCTCTCGCAAAGTGCTTGGAAAAAAATGCATTTTATAAGTAGCACATCTCTGGGTTTAAGATATCCCTCCTGAAATAACTGTCGTCGTTGTATGAAAACAAACAGTCTGAAGAGCCGTAGGGCGCATACTCTGTAGTGGCCATGCCTTCCTGCATATCGGAGCAGTGCGACAGGCAAAAGCAATGCTGGAGGTTGCAGTGCTGATAGTGGTAGCTTTCTGGGGAGAAACTAGAGCTCAGATCCATCCTTGTTGGGGAGCTGTAGCACGAGGAAGATGAAGAGTGGGACTGAGGGGGCGAATAACTGTTGTAATCGACTGGACTAGGGAGATTGAAGGGGTCTGAGGGTGTCCTTGATACCTGAAATAGAATTAACAAACATTAAAAACATGCGTTGCTTCGTACAACACGACATGGTTTGGAATGCTAAAAATGCTTTTAATTAAAATAAAAACACATACCAGGCTTGTCCCGTATATGTCCGTATTGGACGGTAGATATCCATTAGACCACTGCGAAGAAGTGGGACACCCGAAATTGCTGTCGCTGAAAGTCTCAGATGGCATCATGTGCATCATCTGTTGATGGTCATAAACATTCTCAATCTGTAAGTTGACATTTTCGGTAAAGGGACGACTTTGGAAATATGGCTCTTGAGCTTGCATTCCAGAGAAGACATCAAGGTGGGCTGTGGGGAAGACAGAAGAAAATGCTGGCTTGAGCACATGAGAACATTTAAATTAGGCCAGTAAGACTTGAGATGATGTCACGAGACCATCAGCCAACAGCTAAATCACATTTGAATAGTAGTTTATAAAAAAGGAAGATCATTGACGGATCTGTTGGGAGCACCTATAGTAGATGTAGGTTTCATTGTTCCTTTTGTTTATTTTGAACTATTAGAGCTGGTGCCTGGCGATGGATGAAAAAGATTTCTAATTTGGAGAATAGTAAGTTGCATGCAGTCAATGTTTTCATTTGTCTTGTTCTCAGATTTCCTGGTAAAAAAAAATCAAGCTCTTACATGTTAGCAGGGAGAGGGTTAAGCAGTTTTTGTCTGCATTTTCAGGTGCTTATAAGGTTACTGAAATCTGATGCTTTTGTAAACAGTAATGTGAAATGTCTTGACTGCATGTGACAAATGACTGAGACTATCAGTGAGCCACTTTATTTGTCTGATTTTTTTTACTTACCATTCATGGTCGTAGAGCAGACATCGCGATCAGCCATGGCTTGTGATTTCTAATGGATTGAAATAGCAAAAGACAAGCAAACATTAATCATTCGTTCAGAGGAAGGCAGCAGAAATATTTCGTTGTAAAAGCTATTGTGTAGTAACTGAAAATGCAAGCACAGGCCTGAGGGGGCGTGGTGCTTTAAAACATCTGGTTGCTGAATAAATTTGATCTTGCGCTTGTGAAAACTTTTTCATTTTACACTGGCTACCATAAACCAGTCAGAAGTGTATACCAGTCTACTTGTATAAATTTTTGTATTTTTTTGCGTACATGTGTGTATTCAACACCATTGCTTACCGTTGCAGTTTTCTGTGCCTGCAGGGCTCTGTGCTTCTGCAACAACTCCTTAACTGTGGTCTTCACACGCACACCCTGGTATACCTTCGGTTTATCTGCTGAAGGAAAAGCAAATGTCATTTACCACTAAAATAGGCACTAATTTTCAATATTTTTGTGCAAATTTGCACGATTTATCAATAACTCTGTCCATGCAGAACATAAGGGTTTGTAAGAAATAAATCCAATGAGATCAGTGTTGTTATCCACAATTAGGACAATATTTCTGGCGTTTTTATGTTTTTATTATTTTAAATAAAGTTATCTTGATTTTTCTTTATCAAGTTTTAATGTTTATTGTGAAACACATTTACTGTTCATTATTTTTAAAGCGTGTCGGGGGCTACAAATATCAGTGAAACTGATTTGAGGAAAAACAATGGTTGCAATGAATACATATTTTATGTTTTTTGATTATCGTTTTTTTATTGTCATTAGACATTAAACAACATTTGCATACAATAAATGCATTTTTTTCTATTTAAGGAAATTAACATGCATGAAAAGATTACATTTCTAAGATTTCCCGTATTTATGATTTTGTACATTGTGTCTTTCTTTCCGCATAAAAGATCATCTGCAATCAAATAGCTTTGTATTTTCCCTATAAATCCTACCAGTGGAAAAAAATAATAATAATAAATAAATCATCGCACAATGTTGGAAGTCTATCCCCGTCTTCACAGCTCAATTGAAGAGAGTGTGCGACCCGGCAGTGAATGGGTTAGTTTTTGCATTACAATGGATAGTAGTGATTTTCGAGAAACAAGCTCTCCAGCCATCTTTGCTACGAGACGGCGGGTTTAACTTGGAGTTTGTTTTGTGTGGTTGTGAAATAAAACCCAATTCAAATAGGGGAGAAATAGAATTATTGAGCGTTTCACCCGAGAGCGGAATGCGCAGAAAGTTGGGTCAGAGAGAAGCGAAGTGAAACAATGTAACAGCTGGCGGACGGGGAGAATGAGAAGCTTCCTCTGGAGACGCCGCACATTTCAAAAGTAAGTAAAATACTCTTATAATAACAAAAGCAGCAGCTTACAAGCGATCAAAACAAATGCACAGCTAGAGCGTTGGTAAATGAATGTTTTCAACAGAAAACCAGATTCAGATTTGGTTAAAAATAACAATAAGCCCAGTTTGTTTACGAGCGCGCGGGCGATAAGCTACAGTTTGTTTCTGTAAATTCTCAGAAAAAAAGCCCATAGTCAAAGTTTTTAGGATTTTGCTATAAGCTGTGAAGATGTGAAGTTATTTCTTGATTTATTCAATGGGCAGTCCTCTTTTCTCTTCCTACATGCGCGAAGCCGCGCCTAACATCTTCCCCCAAATTTGCGAAACGCGTAAAAATAGATGAAAAAGTTGTAGTCCTTCTTTTCTAATTTTTTAATTGGTTGTTCAGGCTTGTGAAGACATTCACAGTGGGACGTCTTCCTGATCCGCGTTAATATAGGCTATATAAAAATTCTGTAGTAACACAAGTTGGTTCTAAACAACGCCACGCCATGGCTGAGTTCATGGAGGCAGTTGAGTTTACAGAGTAAAAAGTGCGCTGATGTTGATAAGATATCAAAAACGTCCCCTCGGCACTGTTTTGATGGGCTCCTTGAGATAGATATGCGAGTTAGAATATCCTTATAAATATTCATACACGCCGTGAAGAATAATTTGAATTCTGTTTAATAAAATTACGCTCAGCCACCGTTTAATGTTATTCCGAAAGGTAAATCTCAATTAGACACGGTCTTCGATATCGTACTAAAATGTAAAAAAACAAACGACAATAAATAAACGTTCATATAAACCCATGTTCAATTTTGCTCGAGGAAAAGTTCAGTAAAATACAATGAAAGAAAGAAACTAAAGCTATCAATAAAACATGAGCTTTATCACTATGAATAATCTTCCCACAAACTACCATATTAATAAAAATGCATGTATATAAAAATGCAATAATTAGTTTAAAATCAATACTTCACATGTTTTTGCTGTTTTAAAAATTTAGTTAGGCTACATTCTTTGACCAGTACATTTGCATGCAATTCATTTATCAAAGTTTGAATTTGTATTAATATTTTTTTTTCAATGTTTTTCAGATTGCTGAAGACAGAAAACATCTTAAACGAAAAGAATAAAAGAAAATTGACTTACCAGACATATTGGCCTGAAAAGGAGGAAAACTCTGGAAGAGCTACAATGAAATACCCCAACGTCAGTTCTTTGCTCTATTATATGGGCAAGAACGAAATATTCACAAAAGTATCAAAAAGTCTTAACAAAGTAACCTCAAAACACTCTCATGACATACAATTAAACAGTATTATAGCTAGGGATATTTTAGTTTGAGTTTTTCTCCCCTCATCCCTACTATTTAAAACCCCAAGAACTCAATGATTTGACAATGATTTGATTGCGCGATACTTTCAATTTGAATATTCAAAGGCTTCGTAAAAAGACTCATTTCTGAGTGAAATTCGCTATTAAAGTGGATAAAATAACATCTCTTGTAATAGAATGTTATGTCATTTCACATTTTGACATCAACCAAATATATATTTTTAACATTTTATCATCCTTTTGGACTTGGTGGTTGGAGTCTCCCTTAGAAACACTATTTCAACTTTGCAGCAAGTCTGAAAGCACAAATGAAGTTTTACATGTCATGACACATTGTAAATATCTTCAGTAATAGGTAGTCTTGTGGAAAAAAATAAATATTCCCTCTTATAAATTAGATTTATGCATTATTTTAAGAATTACTGGAGTAGTGGGCGTGGCATATGATAGCAGCCATGTTTGTCACCAGCACAATTGGGACGTCAGTAAAAGTCAAAGTATTGCAATAGTGGAGGCATCTATACAAATAACAAATATGAAATATGTTTAATTTAATTTGTAAATTTAATTGAATTGTCAGCCGAGTTGCTGAAAACCAAGGCAAGCTACAACGGACATAAAAACCAACAGTATTCATATTAATATTCATTAATTTCTTTCATTGCTGCATTTTTCTTTTCGATGAGTTGTTAAATAAATAAATTAATATGGCATGTTTATTAGCATCATCAAACAGACCATAAAAAAAAAAGCCTGAAGTGGGCTGCAGTTTGATGCTGAGTGATGCTGAAGAGAGTCTCACACATCCGACTTTGGTCACTATTACTTTTGATGAAGCAAATGCGAAAGAAAAATGGCAAGTAATCTATTAAAATGCAGAACCATCATAATTATGTTGTCTATGTAAGTGTGTCAGATTATTTGTGACGCATTTAAGACAGAAAGCAGCCGTCAGAATTGATGACAAGCAGGTGTTCTTTGTCTGAGAAAAGAGGTTGGAAAACAAGCTGCGCTACATGAAGTACTGTCTAATTTACACATTTCGTTTGCAGGTGAAAAATAATTTTATATTCAAGCATTAATAAAGCACGGAAGAGTTTTTTGTCGTTTTAAAGCATCCTATTTAAAGTCAATTCCTCCAAGGGCACGTCTCTTATTGTTTGCTGAAATTGTTTTGTAAAGTTAATCGGCTGCAAACAGATTAGCGCTTTCAAATTATAATTTTCAAAACTTTTGCTTTTTGTCATTCATTTTAAACAATTCGTTCGTAATCCTAAATCTCTAGGTATCGTTCAACTGGGTTGGAGGAGTCGGCTATTGCGAGGTAGTTGAACGTCGCCCTCTTGTGATGAAACAGAGGAAGGCGTTTAACTGTGTTTTCACTATGCAAGTCACGCAATGCTTACTCATATCATTTGCGTATTTTTCAAGCATGTAATAACATTAAAGATAAGGCTAATGCGTGATCAGAGCTGGAAATAAAAGTTTTTATGAGTTTAAAAATGTTCCAGAAAAATGAGTCATGTTGTGTTTGAACGTTATTTTGGTCCTTTTGTCTCTTCCTGCACATTATACCTTATTTTTTGTTATTTTTCTAACGTTTTTGCATCTTATGCAAAAAAAAAAAAAGATGATAAAAAAGTGAAATACCTATATTCTGATGTACCCTCTAAAATATGCTGTATTTATTTAACTCATATTTGGGTAAATTTGAACAAACCCAAATATACCAAGTTCAGAATGTAAATTAAAGTTTGGGTTGCACAATGATCTTTAGTGAGTGTTTTTTTTTTTTTTTTTTTTTTTTTTGTGATAGTCATTATTTTCTTAGGGAATTAAAACATTGAATGCATAGACAAGGTAACAAATAAGAGACCACTTAAAAGTTCTCAGTTTCTTTAATATATATGCTCAATTAAATGTTTGAGTAAAACACAATTCTTCTAAAATTGAATTGTAAATGTTATTTGAAGTATAAAATGACCGCTGGTAAAAGTTATATAAAAGTACACATTACTAATATTTTAACTTTAACTTATAAGAGTTAAGAAATCATGATTTTTTGGAAAAAAAAATCAGCCAACAAATGCATTTATTTTCACCAATAGTCATTTTCAGGAAAAGCAACAGCATTTATCTATAGCTATTAATAAATGATAGCCCTTGATTTAATAATTTATGGTGGAATCTGTTTCCAACATCTTAAAAAAATGCTGACATTGTATTGTGAAGCTATATAATAATAATACTTGCATTTTTGATTGTTCTTAATCCTTCTACCATACATATTTTTGTTATGTTTTCATAAGACACAAGTTGTCACATCAAATGCAAAACAGGGCATGTCATTGTGCTATTGAGTTACAAAAACACATTTTTTGTAAATCTAGTTTATTCAGTTTTTAGAAATTTAACAACAGGATTTTAAATGAAATTGTCACAAGAAGAGAAATAGGACTAACTAGATATTACACATCTACAATAAATATTGTAACAATGTAAAAAAAAACCTGCTGTACAGATTCAAGTCCGTTAACACAAAGAACAACAACTATAAACATAACAATAGTAGAGTACAGTGATGTTTTTTCATTATTATTATTAAAGTGTGCAACAGTTTGATCACTGCTGCTTTAAACACTCAAACTTTTAAAAGCAAGATGGTTTGGTCTGTTCTGGAAACAAATTGTTCTTAAAATGATTCCAACCATAGTGTGTTTGGTTATCATTATTATTGTGATGTGGACTATTCAGCGATATAACCTCTTTTTTCACTATAACATAGCTACAATCCTGGTGTGGACAGTCTTTTATACTGACTATTACCCTAATTATCCTGCTGAGACAATATAACTTGTGCTTACAAAAAAACAAAAAACAAGAATACAATTATAATAGATATAAATACAACATTAAACTGAAGATAAAGTGTTATTTGTTCCCCAATATTAAAGGGAAAGTCGACCCAAAAATTATTATTTACTCATTATTTATTCACCCTCAAGTGCTTCAAATCCAGAGTTTCTTTCTCCTTTTTGAATGTAGAAGAAGATATTTTGAAGAATGTTGGAAACTGGTTGTTATTTATTTCTATAATAATTTATTGGTTTCCAACATTCTTCAAAACAATAGATGGTATAGGCATAGACAGACCATAATCCCTTTAGAAGGACCTCTGCATTGTATTAAAGGCAACACATATTCTAGACCACAAATCACTCCACATAGGTTATAGTGCATTGATATTACCATATTTAAATTACTGCTCTGATGTTTAGATTATTATGTTGCTAAAAATAGCAGTACAGATGGTTAAATCAAAGAAATAAAAATATGATCACTTGCTTCATTTTTGAACATCAAAAATAATGTATAACCCACAGAATAATTGACTTCCAGTTAATATTCTAAAATGGTTTATTAACGGAGAAGAGAGATATCATTTTAGGAGTGAGTGTATCATCAAACATCCTTACGTTTGTAGAACAACATTAAGCAGTTTTTTGTAGTTCTGTGTAGGGAGTAAAAATGTGGAACAAACTAGGTCTAGACCAGAGATGCCAAAACTAGGGCCCGATGGTGAAAGTTGGCTCATGGTAACCTTTGATTTGACCCACCGTCCTATCTGAGAAGAGAGGGAGAATGGGAATGATTTAGAGATTGTCATTTCAAATTTAATGTAACCTTTTATTTGTTTGTTGTATTGTTAAGCTACAATAAGCAAACTTGAATTAAATGCTTCAATTCAAATGGTGTTATTTAATCAGATTTAGTTTAAAATGTACATACTGTCATTAGACAGATAGAATACTTGGTGAGCATATCAAGGCAAAGGCAGATTCTGCTTGACTAGTGTACTCAGCATTGAACCTCTGTTATTATAAATGTGATTAAAATTATAGTTTAAATAGGTTATATTGCATTAAATAACAGGATATAAAGTAATGTTTTCTATTTATTTTTTTATTTATTATTTAAATAAAATTATCAAATCACTCATGGCAACTTTAATGTAAAATATTTTAGTATATTTTTCCTTGACTATCAATAATCTTTGGTTTCTGGACTTTCATACGAAAATGTTTAGGCCCCCCTGGTCTAGACTCTAGAGCTCCAGCAATGTCCAAGTACAATTATGATCCAGTATAAAAATAAAAAAAATTAAAGAAACAATACAAACACATGGTTTTTACAATATACAGTACTCAGCATAAATAAGTACACCCTTCATAAATCTCTCTTTTAAATTTGTATTTTTAATTGGAAGCTATACATTATTATATTTTGTGAATATATATTAAATTAGTCAGTGCTAAAGCCAAATCTAGAGCTTACCTAAAAAAAAAAAACTTAAAAAAAAAAACGTAGAATAACAGTCCAAAAACTAGTACAGCCAAATTTATATGTTAGAGAAAAATAATACAAATTTCAAAAAAAGGGAAAATCTACAAAAGCCAAAAAAAAAAAAAAAAAAAATGTTGAAATTTTGTAGGGTGTAATTTTTAATATTTTGCTTGAATTTAATTGTATTATCTTTTAATTTCTAAAGATGTTCTGTGACTAAAATACTTTTTGAATAAATATATGTTTAATTAATCTGTTTTGTTTAAATGCACCAAAATACATTATTCACTAAGAACTTAATTATGCTGAGCACTGTATCTGGGAGAAAAACAGATTTATGGTGTCCCAACAGTTTGTATACATTAGTAAAACATGCATGAAAACAATATATTAGGTTAAGAATGAGATGGAGTTAATCTGCACACTTTTAAATTGTTATGGATTATTTTTCATTGTTATGGAATTTTTACCTGTAATTAATGTAGAGCTGGTAAAAGTGGTAGAGATAAATACGCATATGATTCATACTTTAACTTTTCAGAATAAATTAATATTGCACTATTTTGCTTTATTTATTAATGTAATTGTATTTTTTAAATACATTTACAAAATAAAGCCAAAACAGGAACAACTAGAGGGTGAGTAAATGATAGGAGGATTTTCATTTTTAGGAATACGAATCCCTTTAAGTCTTAGCTCGGTTAAGTAAAACTAACAATTTGGTGCTTTTTCAGAGCTAATGGTCTTACTTGTGTATGGAAGAGGTGCTGATCTGCTTTATATCCTCACAGCTGAATATATCAGAATGCCCTCCTGACCTCATACTGTGGCCATGTGCTGCCTGTGTCCTCTTTGCCCCATACTAGACCGTCGCTCAGGGCTGAAGAGGTGTTTTCAGTGTCTTCAGAGGGCAGAACTGGCGCAAGTTTGCTTGCAGGCTCAGCCATGAATGAAGAAGAAGCAAAGCTGGTGGAGGGTGACTGAAATGAGGAATGATAGCCGACTTCGTCCAGTGTGTGTAGAGAGTAGGACTGTGAGGATGCCATGCTGGACCCTCGGGATGACGAGCGGAACTGTGTTGGGCTGGTGGATTCAGGATTCACCAGAGAACTGGGTGTAGACAGAGGTAATGGAGCAAGAGCATCTCCACACAAGCCCTCCATCACCTCCGTCCCTGCGGACTCCCATGAGTCCCTCTGTACATAATAGAAAAATGATGGATCATTAGTATATGCCTCTGATTTACTTACAGATAATCAGAACACCTTTAAATGACGAGGAACTAAGGTTAAAGTTGAGCTACTCTTCTACACTGTAAAAACAAATGCAGGTTTCCACAAATTTCATTCATGTTGTCCAACACAAATCGATTAACACAAAAAGTTAACACTTTTAACAAATGTGTGTGGATTGCACATAAAAAATTAAGTTGCCCCCAATTAAATCTTAAGAATTTTGTTTCAACTCATTTTAAACAAGTAGTTTGAACAAGCAAAAAAAGAGAGAAGATATAACTAAAGGGTAGATAACACACAACTTACAATAGTTATGCAAAAAGGAGAATACTTTAAAAAGTATATAAATTGATATTTAAAAAAGAATAATAAAAACAGCTTTTAAACTTGCCAGTTTTCAGGAAAGAAAAAATATATATATACAAATGATTTGTTAACCTTATCCTTTAATTATAGGTTTAACATATATCCTCACATTTTTAAGATATTTATATCCTTACATATTTATACATTTAACATATTTATATGCTTGGCCACCACTGCCAACCCACCAGCTGGAGAGTGTTGTGGTAAGGGTCGAAACATTTAAGGAAGGTTGTGAACCATCTGATGACATCTAATTGTGGCAGAAAGCTATGGTTACATAGTAGAGTAACCAAAGGAAGCACCAAAAAGTGCATGTCACAATATCCTCACATATTTATATATTTAACATATTTTTATCCTCACATTTAACATATTTATACATTTAACATTTTTATCCTAACATATTTAACATATTTTTATCCCCACATATTTATACATTAAACATTTTTATCCTTGCATATTTTATTTATACCCTCACATATTTAACATATTTACTGTATATCCTCCTCAAATTATATGTTAAACATATAAAAAAAAATGTATTGAGATATTTTATGCACATCACTCTTTGAAAAGTTATTATTTCTTTACATTTAATAAAGTACTCCCAGGGCCGCTTATATTGAAGTTGATATTAAGCCGCACCATGTTGGTGTTTCATAACATCTCATTTTTACGAGGTGGGTCGTTAGCCTAACGTTCAACCCTCAACCTGGAGGGTCAGGAAATACAAACATACACTACGAACAATTTAGCTTCCCCAATTCACCTATATGTCTTTGGACTTGTGGGGGAAACCGGAGCATCTGGAGGAAACCCACGCGAACACGGGAACATCAACTGGCCCAGCCAGAGCTTAAACTTGTGATCTTCTGTGCCGCCCAGAATTCTTTACATTTACAATGTACTCACATCTCCTTTTTTTAAAAACCTTAGATGAAAGAGATTTTTTTTGCAACTTTTGTTATTGTTAATTTTAGAAATATATAATAATATATTAAATATGGTAACACATTACGATACAAGATACAGTTACGATACAAGATACAGTAATTATGTTAATTAGTGCATTTACCAACATGATTAAACTATGAACAATACTTTTACAACATTTATTAATTATAGTTCAACATTTACATTTAAAATCCAAGACTGTGCTTGTTAACATTAGTTAATGCACTGCGAGTTAACATGAACTAACAATGATCAACTTTATTTTATTAAAAAATGTAATTAGGATGAATAAATAATCTAAGTAATAAATGTATTGTTCATAGTTTCTGTTGGTCCATACATGTACTTTATGTCCATAATGTACATAATAGTGAATAAGTACATAAAAACTTAACAGTTAATCAAATGTATAATAGTTACAAAATAATTTTAAAATGTGGGTGTGCATTTAATATATGATTTGTCATTAGTAATCACACACACACACACACACACACACACACACACACACACACACACACACACACACACACACACACACACACACACACACACACACACACACACACACACACATATATATATATATAAACAAACAATTTTAATATATACATATAAAATGAAGAAAAGCTTTCACCAAAATAGCTAAACCATTTTTTGATTTTTTTAGCAAGTATTTTACTGTACTTTAAAAATACTCAAAATGTAAAAGAGTTTTTAAACTATGATAATTGATTTACCAAAGTCACACTAATGGCATTTTCACATTTGTCACATACATAACGAAAAACTGTTACATCCATAACAAAGCTCATTCCCTCATGCAATAAAATGTCAAGTAAAATCAGATCAATCATTTTTGTTTTATAGTGAGCTAACTCTTATTCTTTTGATTAGCATTAGTTCTTTTGTGCAGTTTAATTCATATACTATAGTATGTTATATACTGTAAACTTGCTTACATTTTTGGTCACATCCATAATGCATGTGTATTTTCCCCATTTAAAATATAAAAAAAGTTTACAGATTGATATTTCTCTGATACCATAACTCTGTGGTTAGTTGTTTTGGAAAATATAAACAGATGTTTTAATATTATGTTAACATATACGTTCTCTGTGAATTTATGTTTTGAGATTTTACTGCAATGTCACATCCATAACGCTGGAATTGCTATAATATATATATATATATAAATTAGCGTCAAAATTATAGCTGATTAAGTACAACAGTTCAAATCAAATGAGAATTTTGGAGTAATTTCAGGTAAAGCATGAAGTAAAAGTTTATCAATTGCTTGTGCTTTGCAGGTCTTCAGTAAACATTTTAAGCATGTTTAAAGCATTTGTGAACAATGAATTGATAAGTTTGTAGCTTTAACAAGCATTAATAGTATTTGATTAATTACATACACAATGAAGAATATGCAGTTTTATTGTCCACTTGATTATTTTATTCCTGTACCTGTATACTGTTAGACTCCTTCATTTGCATATTTACTCTGATTTATTTATCTCTTCCTGTAACTTGTTTACTATATTGTATGCACTCTCAAAATCAACCCAATCAATCTCAAATTATTTATGAAGCTATGTTGGGAAAAATCGCAACATAAATTGCAGAAAATGTAAACATTGCAATGTACTTTTTTCCCCCCTGGTACAGTGCAGCCCTAATTTATATAATGAAAATGTATTAATTTGAACTTTGTCATATATATAACAATGAAATAAAACACATTAACAAATTAGTTTAAATCACAATTCTTACTAGCTTATTATCTACTTACGGTATTACCTGTTTTTAGCACTTATAAAGTATAATCTTATTCTACCTGATCCAAACACATCTCTATTACATTAATATTTATCGACGCTTGATTTTATTTACTGATTCATATGGACAGACACTGACTACAATTCACATGAGATCTGGGATCCTGTGATCTGCTCCCACTCCGTCTTACCAGTAAGTAATGTGAAGGGTCACTTGAGTAAGAAGGCAGCAAAGAGGACAATGCAGAGGGTGAGAAGATTGTGCTTCCTCCACTAGAGAAAGGAGTGCTGCGATAATCTCCAAAAGACTCAGGATAGTAGCTGTCTATGAGAGACGAATAACCAGCCACGCATCCGCTATCACACGAGAGAGATTTCCCAGTAAGTGAAGAGGGGTAAACGTCCGCAGAAAATGCTTTTGTTGAGGAGCAGAACTCTGTCTCTGAAATGAAAGGTCTTCTCATGCCATAGTAACTCGGGAGCATGTGAGAACCTGAAGAGACCACAGCCATTTGGATTATTATTATTAAATAATTGACCACAGAAGAAATCTAAAAATAAAATTGCACATTTTAGAATTAAATACACCTGTATTGTAAACTCACCAGTCATTTGAACAAATGGATTTGGAGGAGATGAAACACCCTAGAAAGAAAAGATCAGCATAACATGATTAGTTTGTCATTAATCATCAGTTTTCTGTGATCATTTCGTTTATTTGACTAATGCAATCCTGTCTTAATGGCACATGACAGGCTAACACACAAAATATTTGCATGCATCAAATGACCTGCCAACAAATTTCAAGAGTAAAGAGTTTTTCAGTATTTAAAAAAAAATATCTTACATATTATCCAATTCACTCAAAAATTATTTTGGCTGCTTGTTCAAACGACTTATTTAAAATGAGCTGAAATAACACAACTCAGGAAATGTTTTTAGGAAACGTAATTGTTTATTTTCAATCCACTTACATTTGTTGTGTTAATTTATTCAATTATTACATAAATTAATTGTGTGAAATCCTGCATTTTTTACAGTGATCTCTTGCAATCAAGTTTCACAAGACTACAGGATGAGAGTACAGTTATTGAAGTTATTATTTATTTTCTACAATAATGTTTTAATTGTGGCAAGGCAGTGGCGCAGTAGGTAGTGCTGTTGCCTCACAGCAAGAAGGTCGCTGGTTCGAACCTCGGCTCAGTTGGTGTTTCTGTGTGGAGTTTGCATGTTCTCCCTGCATTCACGTGGGTTTCCTCCGGGTGCTCCGGTTTCCCCCACAGTCCAAAGACATGCAGTACAGGTGAATTGGGTAGGCTAAATTGTCCGTTGTGTTTGTTTGTGTGTGTGTTTGTGTGTTTGTTTGTGTTTGTGTTTGTGTGTGTGTGTGTGTGTGTATGTTTCCCAGAGATGAGTTGTGGCTGGAAGGGCATCCACTGTGTAAAAACTTGCTGGATAAGTTGGCGGTTCATTCCGCTGTGGCGACCCCTGATTAATAAAGGGACTAAGCCGACAAGAAAATGAATGTTCTAATTGTTTTACCCTTAACTGCAAAATTGTTTAGCCAATCTTCGAACATATTATTTCAGTTTTTTTCTTTTTGGACCCTGTTTTCTTTTCTGTCTGTTTCTGTTTGGAATGTAGGGCTGCGCTATAATGAAAAAAATAATAATAAATCAATATTACAATATTTATTTATTTATTTTTTGCAATATATGTTGGAATATGAATATAATTTCACCAGATGACTTGAATAATTTTATTTGGGATAAATTCATTGATTTAGATTGATTGAGATGATCTAGTCTTTTTTATGCAGTGATGCTGAAACAATATATTGTACAGCCCTAATATATATATGCATAACATGGCTGGATGTGGCAATAACTATAATGTATTAATAACAATTGCGAAAGAAAACAAAGATTATGTATTTTAGGGGAGCGTAGGGTACAAAGTAACGCGGGGTTAAATGTAACAGAGTTTTAAGGTATTTGCTTAGGGTTACTTATGGCATGCTTCCAGAAATTTGGATGAGAAACACAGGAGAAACCATTTTTGCAGCATAAAACTATTATTTTTTAATTATAGTCTATATTTTTTATTTAAACAAAATCTGTGAAAGTATATGTAAAATCTTATATTGTTGTGATTACAATCTTCTAGACTAAAAGATGAAACCATTTTGAAAGATGAAAAAAAAAAACGCACAGTAACTGCTAGCCAGTTTTGAGACTTGACACAGCGGGGTTAGTTGTAACAGGGTGTTACGAAGCTACAAACCGCTGGACACCAATTAAACTAACAAAATATTTTTTTGAATTTGAGTGTAATGTTGAGAACTTTTTAAATAAAAATGTTTTTAAATAGAAAATATTTTTTAATGGAAACAAAAATATTTTGCTGCTAATGATGCAAATAAATGCATTGTAAAATAATAGATAAATGGATAATATTGCAAATAGATTCAAATGTGTTTATCCAATAAACAAATAAATAAATAAACATACTGTGCTATGTAAAATAAAAATGAAATGAGCCAATAACTGTAGAAATATAGATACTATTTACAGTAAACAGAAATTAAATTAACTGTGTAAAATCTGCCTGTTACAACTAAACCCTGTCTGTTATAACTTGCACCGCAGGTGGGGTAAAGAGTAACATTTTTACTCCTAGCACTTTTGGCAATACATCACAGAAACCATAGGTCCAACGATCATAATTTCAATGCTCATTTGTAGAAGAGGCTTGTGTGTTATTGGTAAAAATATATATATGGTTTGTCTATTACTGTTACTTTGTTCATTTTTAAACATTCTTTGTTCAGATTTAAGGAAACTCTCAAAATTAATAATTTGATAAGCTAACAGCTTTTTCAGCAGTTCCAACAAATTTTGGTGACAATCATATTTGAGTGATTGCTCTGCAGTAAAAGCCAGTCGGGCCATATCAAGTTCTGCTGAAGATATACTTTTGTTTCTTTTGTGCTTGTGGTAATTATGTGTGAAACATCACTCATCATGGTTTACGAGCCAGTGCCACCTGGAGGAATAAAGGTGAAGGGCATCTTTTGAGGTACACTGGACAAAATATGCTCTCATTATTACATACTAGCGAGTAAGCAACACAATACACTTTGTACCAAAAAGTCAAGCCAAGTCATGCCAACAAAATGTATGTGTTTGTTACCATAACTAATTAAAAGAGTAAAAGAGGTTAACTACTTTTCAGCTTATTTGGTTTAAGTTATACAGCATTCATCTAGATATTTTAGGGTCAGCTTAATGTAAACAATGAAAAAAAAATGTTTAGCGCAGTAACTATTTCACTTCCTGTGTAATGAATAACAGCTAATGGTTTAACTGTTAATGGTGTGCAAGCTGACATTATCAAAAATAAAAACCTGTCCAAAAAACAAAATATTCACTTTGTAATGATGCTATAATTCCAGTTCAAAACAAAATATTTATAAATATTTTTATTTTAAATATATAAGATATTATATACTTCAACAAGCAAGAGTGACATTGTTCCAACTATAAGCAGGAGTGTGTTCACAAATCGGATACTGATTTTATACAACAGCTCAACAAACAAGAGGTCTTTCTAGAATAGACGGAACAGATTAAGTCACTCTGATTTAAAAAACTTATTTTATGGGAACACTGACAATAAATGGCATTGGTATGAGACTGGACAAAGTACTTGGAAAAGTACTCACTGTTCCAACTAAATCCAATAAAGGTAAAACTATCAACTAACTAAAGCAGGAAAAAAGGAACAAGGGTTAAAATAGGTCAAACTAGAACAGACCCAAACAGATTAAGTCAAGATTACTTTCATTAAAAATATATGTTAAGCAGGGACAAAGCTGAGAGAAAAGCATAAGTCAAACCCTTATATGGGATAACAGATTTAGAAATCATGCATACTTAAATAAAAATGTGATGTAGGGGCTGTTTATCATGTACTTGGGCTAAATACCTCAAACAGATATCAGATATGAGCTAAAAGGAGTTAGAGATGGAGGAGAAAGTTTGGAATTGGCATTCAGCCAAGCAGATGTATGATTTAAATGGATCACAGTGATAGATGTCAACACTGGATTGGTAACTTCTGACCATCAGCCTGATGCAAGCTTGACTGACCTGTCCTGCCTAACTAACACACTGCTTGATTTTAGAGCTGGTAAAAAGTGTAAACTACAAACATGACGGACATGCAAAACCAACAATTAGAGGCTTCGATAAAGGGGTTTGAATGATTACTAAATGTAAATGTAAAATGAAGCCTACTAGAAAATATTAAACTCACATTTTGCGTGTTATTTTTAATTTGCAACAACAATGTAAACTTCTACAAAGAAACATTTTCGCATTAACTTTTGAATGAATAAATATGCAAAAACCTGAGGAGATTTCTCTGCAAGAAAGATTTGCAAATGTCAGATTAACCTGCTGCTGAATCTCCAATAAATTAGGTCATTTATTATGAAAGAAATGTGCATTATGTGTCAAGATGATTGACAATAAAACTAAGCAACATAACAGTCCGTTAATGAGGAAGTAGTATGTCCCAAAGCTTGCCTACTGCCTATTACACTCAAAAGTATGTCTTCCAAAAACAAACCTACTTTTAGAACATAGTATAAGTAAACGAATTAGGAGACAGCAAGTAACATGTTTAAATCAGCTGTTTTCAATCAGCTATTTTCAACTAATCATTTGAATGATTTATTCAGCGAATCATTTATTAAAATGGGCTGTATCTGTAATCGCTCCAAATACCCTTATTCACAATTCCCTATTATTCACTAATGCAGTCCACTTAAGGGAGTAAATTGAGCACTGATGACACCAGAAGAAATGTCATTTTGTTAGCAAGCTATCAATTAGTAATGAAAAAGTATTTTCATTTCTGTCATGTATACAAACGTTATTTGACAATAAAATAATGCATTATTTAGAAACTTAGACTAATAGGATTTTGCTGTGGATGCCATCTTTAGTCAGACATGGAGGTTAATCTGGCGCACTCTCACAGTGCATCATGGGAATTCTCTACGGTGGCTGGGAGAGCTTAATGTGCTGCAATTTAAGAAAACATGTGCAATTACAAAAAATGCCAGCAAAATGAGAAAATCTTCATCAGTTTCACAGCACATGTGCGGCAAAATCTCACAACACAAACATATCTTTAAAAAGCGTGCTGCATTTTTACAAAATGCAAACAATTAATAAAACAGGCTGCATTTTCTCACAACGCAAACAATTAATAAAACAGGCTGCATTTTCACACAACGCGAACAATTAATAAAACAGGCTGCGATTTCTCACAACGCAAACAAATGATTAAAACGTGCTGCATTTCCACACAACACAAACAATTAATAAAACGTGCAGCATTTTCACACAACACAAACAAATTTATAAAACATGCAGCATTTTCACACAACACAAACAAATTTTTAAAGCGTACTGCATTTTCACAGAACGCAAACAATTGATAAAACACGCTGCATTTTCACACAACGCGAACAATTAATAAAACAGGCTGCATTTTCTCACAACGCAAACAATTAATAAAACAGGCTGCATTTTCACACAACGCGAACAATTAATAAAACAGGCTGCGATTTCTCACAACGCAAACAAATGATTAAAACGTGCTGCATTTCCACACAACACAAACAATTAATAAAACGTG